TCATGTGTGCCTCTCAGAGGTTACTGTGACAGCAAGTTGAATCTAACATCAAAGAACTCAGATTCTGGAAAGTGTCAACCATTTTAGTGTTTTGTGCAATTCAGTATGTGACATAGATATAATTTGTTAGATTATCTCTCATCTTTTACCATGTGCATCTGGTTTATGCAGATGTTCGTTACCCGTTTGTGCCAGAATTAGAGCATGTGTGTGGAAGGCCATTAGGAATGTGTTTTGAGAAGAAAGCCAAAGATCTTTACATTGTGGATGCCTTTCTTATTGTAGGTTTTGCTGGTGGTTACAGAAGTTGAGGGGCCAAAGTTTTGTTTCACTAATAAATTGGACATTGATGAGCAGGAAGATGTAATCATATGATTACTTCACAGTTACTAGCACCAGATTCCAGAGAAGATAACATGAATAGAAACAGCTTTCTTATTATGTGATTTTCATAAAAGAACAAAGCTACTGACTTTCTTACTTTGATGCATGAATCTGAAATTCGCCTTTTCTATTGGTGATGATGATTTAATTTCAAAGCATTGTCAAAGCAATTCTGATAGCCATAATATCCACTTGCAAGATCTTAAGACTTTGTCTCTCTGGTCCAAATGCAGGAACCAAGACATATTTGCTCAGCTTTCGGGTGAATCTGAGTGAATTATGAAAGGTTTTAGAGGTGCTTGGCGATAAAGAAAGAAAGAGATTGAGGTTTATAAGTGAAGTGAAGTGGAAAGATGATAAGCTTTTGATTGGTTCTGTTCTCATGCCATTTCTTGATGTTTATGATTTGTAGTTTTATACTACGTTGTTGAGATTTAATTGTTTTTGCGTTGCTATAATGTTGAATGCCAAGTTAATGTATGTCTTATGTGAAAGATTTGGATTGGTTATGTTCTCATGTCGTTTCTTAGTGTTTATGATTTGTAGTTTTATATGTTGTACATTAAGTTGTTAACTCTCTTTTTTTTACGTCCTTTTTGTATTCAAAATTAGTGTTGGCAGTATATGTATTTAGACTGTTAAGTACTCTATCACAATATTAAAAAAACATGAAAAGTCTATAAATAAAATAAATATTATAATTGGTGAAAGAGATAAGGATATAGTGTACGGTTCATAAATAAAATTGGAAGGATTCGGACCAAGATCCTAGTCTGGGATCAGTTTTTTCTAATACTATTTTGACGTAACTCATCTTTCTCATCAGAATTCGAACAACAAACACACTAAAACCAATCCATGTACTTTAACCACTAGCCCAACTCATCCAATGATAAAAGAGAAACACTTCATTATTTAACTTTTGTCTGTATGTTATATTACACAAAATGTCCATACACAATAAAGTTTAATTAAGATATTCTTATTTATATTACTAAATGTTTTAAAAAAATATATAAACATTTGATTTACCAAATTATAACAATTATGGAAATAAAATTTTAATTATAAAGGTGCATTTGTTTATCTGTTTTTAGATTTTAACAAATAATTTGAACAAACTGTGATTAACATCCTCACAGCTTTAAACAGATATTAATTCAATAAATTTAAACCAAAACTCCAAAACATAATCTACGTTTGTTTAAAGTATATGAAAACTTCAAAAAAAAAAAATCAATTAGAAAAAATGGAATATTTTATTATATTGTTTGTATTTTACAAACATTTCTTTTTTTATACTGTTTGTATATTGCAATTTATTATACTTAAATTAGAATGATAAAGCTCACACAAAAATAAACATTTTTGTAACAAATATTATTTTACTAAGGTAACAAATTTCTAGCACTAATAATAGAATGTTTACTGATATCTTATAGGCAACTAAAATAGGATGTTCACGTAGATATGTCTATCGTAGAGAAAATCCATATAAAAGAGAATAAATTGTGGTATAATTTAACAAATTGCATGTTACAATATAGTGAACATATAAAATATTTTACCACACATACTAATATTTTATTATACGGTTTATATATTACAGACCCTTATTTCATTATACTCAGTGTATATTACAAACTTTTATCTTATTATACATGAATTAGAATGATTATTGGGCTCATACAAAAAAATATAAAAATATTTAGCTTTTTAAGTAATTAATTTTAATAAAAAGAATAAACACATTATTTAGTCCATTTAAATTGGAGTCCTTTGGGTTCATTATTTCTGTCTAAATAAATTCCATCAGTTTTGGCAATCCATGAACGTATTTGACCACATCGACTCCTAGAAGCTCCTCTATACGCTCTCCATATAGACTGATAATACTCTGCTTTCTGACCTTGCCTCAAATGACAAGCCCAAACTATTCTGTTTCCTCCTCCCTCCTTAACAAAAATTTCGTATGTATCATTGAATTTCACATCACGAAGACCCCTAGCATCGTTTCTGTTGGAGGTACAATTGACTTTAAGAATATTACCAGGAGCGAGTTGGTTTTGAAATTTCAAACTGTTTACAAGGCATTGATTTCTACATCGTGGGTGTTGGGAATTACCAGTACTACACACAATACCTTCATTCAAACCAAAACGCATAGCAATTACTAACAGAAAAACAATAAAAGACTTCATTTTTGTTTAAAATATCTTTTGGAGTATAAAATGTTGTATTTATAGTTTTTTGTGGTAAAATGTTTCAATGTTTTTTTATTAATTTTTCTTAAAGTTAATGGCTAACGTTAGATACAAATATAAACCAACTAAACTTATGGTCAGAGGAGCATTTGGTTTCGATAAGTAAGGTGAATCAATCAAATGAATTAGACTTGCAAATTATTGTTAACCATTAAAAGTATTTAAAACTAGGTCTGGCTAAAATTCTCCAACCATTCCAAATCGAACAGAACGTTGACCCCAAACTAAATTACAAATAACATGAATAATGCAGTAATTTTCTATGTATCACTCAAAATGAATTTGAAATGAATCCATATAATAAAAATCCAAATTAAAATTTATAAAACTTAGTATATTTATATTTAAAAATACATTTAAATCTACAATATTGATTGAAATTGTCGAAATATTTTTTATATACTTATATTTGAATATATCCTACATTAGCCAAATACAAAGCAAATGCATGAGTGTATTTGCTGGTTGGTTAACTAACCAAACAACAACAAAATCTATTACTAGAATATTTTTATTTATATTACTAAACATAATTTTTAAAAATAAAACATTTAATTTACCAAATTATAAAACTTACCGAAATAAATTCATTAATTATAAGCGTTAATTTTTTATATATGTTTTTAACAAACAGTTTGAAGTTTGAACAACTTAGTAAGGTAGAGTATAAGAATTTTTTTATCCTACTGTTGTATGTTCAAAAACAAACAATTTTGTAACAAATATTATTTTACTAAGGTAACAAATTTCCAATATTAGTGAACATAATAGAATGTTTACTCATATGTTATAGGCAACTAAAATAGGATGTTTATGTAGATATGTCTATTGTAGAGAAAATCCATATAAAAGAGAGAAAAATGTGGTATAATTTGAGAAATTGTTACAATATAGTGAACATATAAAATATCAAACATACTAATATTTTATTATACTGTTTGTATATTAGAAACCTTTATTTTATTATACTCAGTGTATATTACAAATTTTTATCTTATTATATTCGAATTAGACTGATTACTTAGCTCATACAAAAAAAAAAAATATTTAACTTCTTAAGTAATTAATTTTAACAAGAAGAATAAACACGTTATTTTATCCACTTAAATTGAAGTCCTTTGGATTCATTATTTCTGACAAAGTAAACTCCATCAGGTTTGGCAATATAATAACGTATTTGACCACATCGCTTGTTATGAGCTCCTTTATACGCTCTCCATATAGACAGCCAATACTCTGCATTCTGACCTTGCCTCAAATGACAAGCCCAGACTACTCTGATTCTATGTGCTTCATGAACCAGAATTTCGTATTTATTATTGAATCTCACATCATGGACATGTTTAAGTATATTGTCGGTGCTGCAGGTGCAATTGACTTTGAGAATATTACCAGGACCGAGTTCGTTTCGAAATTCCAATGTGTTTACGAGGCATGAATTTCCTTCATTAAAACACATAGCAATCACTAATATAAAAACTATAAAATAATTCATTTTTGTTTAAAATGTTTTTTTTAGTAATATATATATAGATCTAATTAAACGATTCAAAATGTAGTATTTATAGTTTCTTTTGTGGTAGAAAAATTTCAATGTTTTTATTAAATTTCTTATTTACGTTAATAGCTAATTTTAGATTTAAATATGAACCAACTAAACCTATGGTCGGAAGAGCATTTGGTTACGAAAAGTAAGGTAAACCAATAAAATGAATTAGATTTGCAAATTATTGTTGACCATTACAATTAAACTAGGTCTCGCTAAAATTCCCCAACCATTCAAAATTGAACCAATTTTTTTTGAACTTAAAATACAAAAATAATATAAACAAAGCATCAATGTTTCTCGAAGCGAATTTGAATTGAATCCAAATTACAGCCAAATGAAATTAACCGAACTGGTTAAAATTTATAAGTCTACAAATGTTAGCTGAAATTATCATTTGTTATATTTTTTTGTCCAAAACCAAACCAAATCTGAAGGAATTTTGAATCTAAACCAAATCAATTTTTATAAAACAAAATAAAAACCAATAATATCTGATACAAAATAAAAACAATTTTGTAAAAAACAAATAATCTAAAACTCGAATAATCCAAACCGAGAAAAACCACATAATCGAATGCCAAAAGCCTAAAATCGCACATAAATATTGGAACCCTCTAAACCTATCTCTTGATTTAATTACTTTAATTTTGGGGTCATTCTATCTTATGTGTCATGATATCGATTACAAGTTAACACTTCAAAAAAATATTCTCAGAAATATTTTAGAAGATATTTGACCTAAAGAAAGCCTGAACATTTGATATATCCCTAGGACCCTAGCTATATGATTACATTGCACATCATCAATAACGAATATTTTTAGAATCTGAAGCCATTTCCACTGTTGCTTTCCCGTCTACAGTGGCTGCAGCCAACTTGAGAATATCATGGTTCACCGTCAACGGCACGCTTGATGCGAAGTGATGATGATGCTGAAAACGTTGTTGGTCATCACGACTTCCCACACCAAGGAAGTCTCTGGTCAATTCGTCTTCCTTATCTTTCGGCTTGAAACCATTAGAGTTTGGCATCGTATTGTTGAACATGGAGGAATTCATGAGCCCAAACATGGTTCTAGTGTTGGAGCTCGATGATGATCCCATTTGAGCAGCCTTTTGAAGCAATGTGGTTGCTGACAAGGAAGCCAGATTCCCTTTTTGGTTATTCAAGAACAAGGATGCTGCTATGTCTGGACCGGTTGAGCTCGATCCACTATAGATAATTCCCTTCTTGAGCTCATCTTCTTGATTCTCGGATATTTCCTTATGAAGAATGTTTTTCTTGTTGTTCATGTATTCATTGACTAGCCAGTGGTGTGATTGTGAACCCTCTCTTTGTAACTTCCATAGACTGTGAACCGAATCAGATGTACCACACGGTGATGATTGTGGTGATGACAACGCGAAAGCATTGGTTTGTAGCTGGATTTGGTCGGAATTGTTGAACTTGTGTCCCGATAAGGTGGTGTGATTGCTGATGAAATTAAGACCGGTCGTACGTGTGAGAGAATGATCTAATTGTGGTTGAATCAGAATTGGATTGTTGGTAGCAGAGATGGTCGAATTGGCTGCTAAGGGTGATGGGGATGATGGGACGAATTTTGCAGTTTCATCAGCTAAGGCATCACAGAAGGCTCTATGTGTGATGAAACTATCCTTCCTGTTACAATTAATCAAATCAGTCATCAAAGAAACTGGAGTATTGTATATCAATATATATGGAAAATGTATAATATCTTTTTTTTTTGGTTTAAGTAAATGTATAATATGTGTCTTCTTCTTTTTAATGTATAACATGCAACTCTTTATTGAAAGCAAGCTTAGGCTATAAAATTGTAACGCTTTATTTAATGTGTATGGTGGAAACAGAAGACTTTAGTTATTGACAGATGACCACATGATGTTCTAATCATGCATCACCCTTTTTAACCTCGATAGTGGTGTCTCAACAAAACTACAAACTGGACCAAGACAAAAAGAAGCCACGAACTAATAAACGGTACGTAGTGGTATCAAACGACAAGCTACGAGCCAAAGACCACGTACTAGACATAAAGTACACCCAGATAACCTATGACCAGGGTTTCTAGTATAATAATTAATTTGTACTGTTGTTTCTGCCGAGTCATGGACTCATTCATATATATTTAAATTCAAAAATATACGTTTGTAAACAAAGAAATAAAAATACACTACTCTCAGTTGTGTATATAGACGTATCTGCGATACTACAAATGCATTCTCGTGCTTTATATACTCATGCACCTGTTAGATATCTGGATATAGAATCCGAGTTGTTTCAAAATGCAAATATGTGTCTGTGTTTAATTACTTTTAAAAAAAAAATTGTATAAAACACTTCAAATAAATGCGAATCTGAAGATTAATAAAATATTCTTCCGCTGGCATTAACGTTCATAATTTTGAAAATGTTTTGGAAAACAATACAACAACTTAACGTGTAAAGGTTGGCAAAAAAAAAAAAAAAAAAAAAAAACTTAACGTGTAAAGGCAAAATGATAAGACTTGAAACGAAGACGTAGAGATAGTAATAATAACCTGGAGAAGAGTGTACCACAATCACATCTATACTCTCTGCTACCACAAATCTTTGTATGAGCTTTCCAATCGGAGATCACAGCGTACTTCTTGGAACATTTGTCGCATTTTAACTTTTTCTCGCCATGTTTCCTGCTAAAGTGCTTCTTAATCCCGGTGAGGTCTCCTAGAGCTCGAGCTGGATTATGATGGACGCAGCTCTTCTCAGGGCAAATATACACTTTCTTCTTCACTTGATCCTTGCTCGTTCTTTGCTTCAGCTTCCATGGGAGGTTGTGTCCTCTTTTGTGTAGCTGGAGATTCTGTTCCCTCTGAAACCCTTTGTTGCAGATTTCACAGAAGAATCGATTTGTAGCCATGAGGGATTTTGGAGATAAAGCGACCACTTCTGCATCTGGATCTGTTTTTGTTGTTGTTAGAAACAAAATTAAAACCAGGAAAAATAAAAAAAAGAATCAAGAAGGAAACAAGAAAAGAAAAAAGATTTAGACTTGAAATAAGAGTATTATCTTGATGAAAACCCCACCAAAGTAAATTTAAAATTTGAAAAGCCGTCGAGAAAGAAAAAAATACATATACATCAATACATGCCTGGATTTCCTGGGAGGTTTCTCTTTCTCTTGGATGTGTTAGTGGAGGCAGGGTTAGAGCTAGGGTTAGGATTTGGGGTTATGTGTTCTTGTTCATGGACAAAGCTAGAGAATGAGAGACGGTCATGATTATGTGGAATAATCATGTCTTGATTCAGAGTAAGAAGACAAAAGAAAACTATTTAGTTTGTCTTAAAGGTCTATACTAAAACAAGCAAGAATCTGAGAGCAAGAAGACAGAAAGTGAATGAAAGAAGAAAACAAGTAGGAATGAAAGTGATTTATCTAATTACAGTAGAACTCTGTGATTTATAAGAAGTAAAGCTAGATATTTTATGGGTTGAAAAGTGGGATGTTTTTTTCTGAACTTTTTCTTCGGCAATAATGAAGTATGTTGGATTTTCACCCGGGTAGATATAGTGATGGCACTATACCACCATACTTGGATCAAGCGAAAAAGTTTAATTTTATTTATATTTTTAAAATCGGGATCGATTTTTATATGTTTCAAAAATTATGATGGATGAAGTTTTGATCACTTGTGAAGAGTCTTGTAGAATAACACCAAAAAGAAAGGTGGCTAAAAAGGAATCTCTCTCCCTTTACGCACAACTGTCCTCCTATAAGTCGGTCAGCGATCTCAGACCATTCTCGATCTAGTGTAACACAAATTTTCATATAATTCTTTTTCTTCAAACATATAATTTCATTTGATAACTTTAGGTTTGAATTTAAGACCTTCATCTGACTTGAATTTGCATATTTCATGTATTGTTATCATACAGTTTCAAGAAGGTTATTATACGATTACAATTGTGAATGTATATATTGTATGATCGTATATGCATGAGTGTGAATAACTTTAAACTTTTGGACTTTTCTTACTCTCTTTATATATATAGAAGTTGACTAAAAATTAAGACCACAAATTTTAGTATTAAAACAATGTGTGTTTATATCATGACCTTCCCTATATACATTTTTTTTTTGTTTCACACAAACTAAAAATACATCACGAGCTATTGATGAAACGGCTCTGTGTGAATATGAGATGGATCACAGTTCACAGATACAATGAAGATAATATATTGATATATTATTTTGATCATGATGAAACTGTTAGCTTTTAATTTGATAATGGTAACAAAGCTCAGCCAAATCATTTAAGAACGAGACAAGTGACATCACATCCATACTTTACGAAGAACAATTATACTAAATCCCACTTCATAGACTAGCAAAGCACACTATTAACCATTAAGCGCCTAGGTGTGTATATGTTTAATTAAACTAGTTATCAATCAATATTCCAAAAACAATTTAAGTTGTTTTCCATATTTTAGAATCATCAGTTCTCCCTCCAAGTTCCTAATTGTTGTCGCCACTCCCGAAATGTTTGTTGTCTTAAATCTGATCGAAGAAACTTTATTACCCTATCTTAATGACTATGAATCGACAGTAGATTCTGCCATAAGAATCATGTACTCATTGATTATTTTGGGGATATTGCTAAGCCCTTTTGAATGTTAAGCTTTGCAATGGTACGATAGAAAAAGGGGTAAAATTTACAATAATAAGTAAAGAAAGACAAATAAACAAACAGGATAATTTGGAGATGACATCAACATAAAAAGGATATAAAAAGAAAGGTTTAGAAACGAAAATAGAAAAGGAAGAAAAGGACGGTGGAATAAAGGGGATTGTCTTTACAGCCAACACTCAAATTTAAATGGGGTAAGCAAAATAGTCATTACATAATTAAGCCATAAGTACATTATTGACCTCTAATAATCAAATTTACATACACATTTATAGAGAGACATGAGGCATGTGAGAGAGCCTGACCTGAGTATCCATCATGAGACTTATATAATCGCCAAAGTTGTTACAAATTACACATCATGGCACTTATAATGAACTAAACTGTTTTATAGTCGTCGGATTTTAAACCAAACTAATCTTGATCATCTGGTTTCGCCAGGAAATTCAATATATTACTTTGGTATTCAACTTTTTGATTTAATTAAGTAAATTTTTAAAGAGACAAGGATTCGTAGAGTCAACGTGTTTTAGATTCTTCCTACAGCATCGGCTTTGTTTATGCTCTACGGGACACACTTATCTCGATCAAGTCTCCGAGGTGGTGGCAAGCAGAACCGAAACTTTTTAGAGCTTTATTTCATACGTACGTATGCGGCATCTCTTTTGTAAACGTCTTCTCTAACACAGTTATTTCAATGGCAAAACTTACATACATACATATTTACGTAAATAAAACAGATAAACATGAAATATTTAAGCAAATTTTCTTCATGTTCTATGTCTCTTCATATTCATTTTTTTTGAATAAAATTTGTTTTACATGCCTACATATTAAAGAAATCATAGGGGCCGCCCAATATAAAACCGTGCAGTAAAACTAAAAGATTAGAGAACCCGACCAAAATCTCCAATTTCATAAACCAAAAGTTCTTTATTCATCCGTGTAACTAATTATTCTGAAACCCCACAAAATTTATTGTGTATTTTTATTAAAATTTCCCCCCTAAATACTATTAATCGTACAACATTCTGATTTTTTTTTTTTTTTTTTGTCAACGAATGTACAACATTCATCTTACCGTAATTAACTCCCAAAAAAAGTCGTTGGAGGTATCTGAAGTTTCTACTACAACTCCACGTCTCTTCCATTTCATTCATCAACATTAATTACCCTAAAGTACCCCCAGATTTGACTTTATTTACCATTTTGCCTTTCCTTCCCCACACTCTATTATCCTCTCTGATCTATACCTTTTCTTTGTCTCTTTCACCTTTACCGTACAATACAACAATGGCGAGAGGCTCTTCCCAGTCCCAGCAATCAACCTCCACCGCCTCCTCAACCGCCCGGCCCGGTCTGGCCGCTCCTCGTGGATCCGCCGCCGCTACGGCCGGCATGCGTCGCCGCAGGCTCGGTGGCGGCGGAAGCGTATCTTCAGGCGGTGGATCCGCGGCTGGATCAGGATCGAGCAACATGCTGAGGTTCTACACCGATGAAGCTCCTGGATTGAAGATCTCACCGACCGTCGTCCTCATCATGAGCCTTTGTTTCATCGGCTTTGTCACCGCTCTTCATGTCTTCGGAAAACTCTACCTCCACAAATCCGGATCCCAAGCATAGATCCGGATCCGGATCTGGATCTCTTCCTCGGTGGTCGCTGGTTTTTGTGTGTGTCGTTTCTTGTATTTTGTTTCTTTTTTTGGGTTTTCTTCTCGATGATCTAAATCGATAAACGTTGAATAAAAACAACTTACTTTCTGGAAATTTTGCAATAACTTACAAATTTGCCGATAAATGGATAATAGTAATAGGGTTATGTTAATTTAACATTGGATAATTTAACATTATGTATGAAGCCTAAATCATCAACGACTAGAAACATCTGCTATGCATGTCGGGTTTGGTTTGGTTGGTTTAGCAAGCAAACCGGCACTTGGGAGTTGTAATTAGTAGTGTGATGGATAAGAACCGGGAATTCAACCGAAACGGAACCAGAATGGATTTTTAGCTCAATTTAGAGATTTATTATAGAGTAATACAGTATACAAGTTGGATATACAAATTTAGAGATTTATTATATAGTAAATATACAAGTTGGATGATTCAAATAAATCATACAAACAAACCAATCATGAAAGCAAACACAATCGTCTTTAACAGGTTCAAACAAATCAATCACACCAAAGTACATGAAAAGAAAGAAAAGAAGTTTTAGATGATAATTGAATTAGCATATGGCTGTAGAGGATACAAGCTTATGTAGGTTTGGATTACAGAAGCCACCGTTCCAACAAAAGTCATAACCAGGATTAGTATGGCGACTATTGTAGCTGTGCCGGTCCACAAGTCGGTAAAGTAGACTTTCTTGAGAGTGGCCCAATACCTCTTTGCACGAGACTGATAGTGAGCTTGGAGACTCACGGCTATGCTGTGATATTGGGAGGTAGTCGATTCAGTCAGGCCAACCGTTAACTTGTTCACCATCTCCAGTGTCAAGCTCGCCCGACCCATACATTGTGTTAGCACCCCTGTGCTCCATCAACACATGTTTGTTGTTATTCATATCAATTCGAGAGACATTAACGTATTAATTAAATCTTGTGATATGTTTGTACCTGCTTTCTTGAGTATATCAACGTCTCCGTCGCTAGTAATCAGGAAGTTCATGAAACGTATGTAGTTAGAAGTAAAAGGTGTAAGCCCATGGCACTGCTCATATGCAACGACATTTCTTAGAATCTTATCAGAAGCAACATCCACACGGAAACTTGACATCACTAAGCAACCTTTCTCAAACTCCATATGCAGAGAATATTCATCAACTTCATTAATTTTTACAGAGATGGGAAGCGAATCCAACAGCTCTTGATTCCGGGAAGACTGGCGGTGGATTCGGTCTTCTGTTGGAGAGTTCAAGGGAATGGCTGCCTAAAACAAGAAAACAATTGAGATTATTTTTCTCTAAATTTTCTTCTTATAAAAACTCGTTTATTAAAATTCCCAGTGTCAAAAAGTACAGCAAACTAAGACCTGCTAGGGTATTTCTTATCCAAAGTTTTTTATATATATATATATATATATATATATATATATATTATGTTAGATTTTTCGAACTCGAAAATATGAGTAAGCGCATCAGGTTTTACCTTGAATTCCACTCCTGCAAGGGATAGATTAACAGCGTTGTTCATATCCCTGATAGCTGCTCCACTCAAGTCGTTTAGCTTTGGAGATCGGTCAAGCGATTGCACATAAACACACCGGAACATGTCTGTGAAATGATCGAAGCTTGTATTTGATCTGGTCTTTATGTGCGGGGAAAATAACTTAAGGAGTTGTTGGCCCAGGTGGCGCAGCGTCTCATAATATACACCAAACAATTTATCGAAAATGAAATAGGGAAGTTGGTTCTCGAGCAAGAAGAGATCTCCTATCACTGTTTCAGCTTGACTAAGGGCCATAATCATGTTATCTGAAGTTCCAGTACGGCGTCCTTGAAGTCTCCTGATAAACTCCATGACGAAAACTGAATCCAGAAGAATAAGTTGCCCAAAAAATTCAGATGTCATCTCTTCAAATTTTACCGCATAGCTTCCTCGAATATTTTCTTCTTCCGCTATTATGGTTCCCCTTATTTTCTTAACAACATCTTCCCCGACTTCGTCGGTGAAATGTGCTAAGTACGCCTTCTTTATGTCCTCCATCCCCTCATATAATTTTCTTGTCTTTTTTTTCAGATGCCTGATAAACATTCATCGCCACATTAATCTTTGGATTATATAAATAAATGACAATTCCAACTTAACGAAGATGCGACCTCCGTTAATTTTTTATTCATTTATATATATATATATATATATATATATTTTTTTTTTTTTCATTTGCCTTCTATATTTTTGATCGAAATTATTTTCTCCATCAGGTTTCCATTGGGTTTCTCTCTTCCAAAAATGATGCACATCAACACATGTTTCTGTTCTGTGAACTTCACAGTTGCTAAAATGTTATTATATATGTTCTCTTAATATTTTGTTCAAACAAACATCCTCTTAATCACAACAATGTTGATATATATACCTGCTCGATAATCTTAGAGACCCCTGTGCAAAAACATATAGCCTCCTATAATTATTAAGAAAAAAAGAGAAAAATCTGATTTTTTTTTAAAGTAACTATTATCTAATGTTTTCAGTAAAAACATATAATATGATATCGTTTTATTATGATCAAAATCTAAATTCTATAAAATTTTAAAGCCAAATAGACAAGTCAAGAAATAATTTTATTTGTTCACAATTTTAAAAATTTCTATGCTTTTCAAGTATTCTCTTTTATCTTTACTATCAAGAAAATATTAACACAATTAAAGCAGTATGTACATATATGTGCGTATGTATGTGTGTATGTTTTGATATGTTCCACGTACCCTGTTCTGTTACTCGTTTCAGCATCGTCGTCATCAGAAGATTCTTCTTTTTTTTTTTTTTTTTTATTAACGTCGTCAGAAAGCTTTTTCTTGTTTTTTTTGTCCTCAGAAGGTTTCAGTTTTGGTTTGAGAGAACGATGAAGCAGGCCGATGAGGACAATCCGAGGTGTATAGGCATCGGGTTTCCCTTCACGCATTTGGCTTGGTACTTTATAAATGCAAGGTCGCATCTTCGTTAAGTTGAAAATTCTGTGTATCTGCATCAAGTATATATTCAAGTTTTGTTAGATATTTATGTACAGTCCAACAACAACATATGTACAAACTAAGTAAAAATTGGAAAAGACAACTATTCATACATAGAACATACTACGCTGTGTTATATATCGACATTAGTAAGTAGTAATAGGGACATCTCTTATAAGTCATTGTTTGAGTTTGCTTTATCATATTTCTAATACATAAATCTCAAAGACATAATACTAAGGAAGAAGAGCTTACTGGTAATATGGAAGAGCTATGGAACGAGGTTTTAAGTCTTTTATGAAACCCTTACTATTTTTCGTACTTAGATTTACAGCATGAAGAAGGGTCATATATAACGTTGAGAAAATTAGACAATGAGATGCGGATGAGAATCATATATATTCTATAAATAAAATGGTGCAACTTGTGATGATATAAAAATGCAAAACTACAAAATTTATGCAAAGTCAACTACGAGTTATAAACAAGAAACTACAAACAACTCTTCATAAATAAAGTTAAAATATGGGGGAAAATGTATTCACTCAGCTTCTAACACATGAGATTTATCATGATGCTAAACTAATTTTGTAGTTACCAATTTTACAAATAACACAAGTCAAAATGAGAAACCGAGTATAACTTATTCTAATCAAATTTTAATTCTAAAGTTTTAGTTTGATTCATAATCAATAACATTTTTGAATTATCTACGAATTAGATCCGTAACTTAAATTATATCAATGATAATTTATGTTCCTAATCAAAACATAGGTTCGTGGCTCAACGTTTGGTAACAACAATTTTTGTTCCAGCTCCATTTATATCAGGCACGGAACTGGTTAGATTTCAAATGGTTTTGTAATTTCCAGCCTCATTGTGAAGGAGAGCCGTGTAAGTCATAGTTTGCTTTCATATCTTTCGGTGACATCTTTAAGTTATAATTGTTTTACAAATTGACGCTTGTTCTCACTAATAAGATATAAAATTTCTGGGAAGATGTCCTAGTCAAATTAAGAGAGTTTTTCACAACATTATTTAAAATGAACCCGTATAAAGCAACTAGTGGTGTACTAGTGTTATAGAATTGAATCAAGTTGTAAGAATATTACCTCAAAATGGTTAGTTCATGGTCCATTATTATCCTAATTTTTAAATTAAATAAATAAATAATGTTATGTGCATGTGTTGACCAATAATAATAATAATAATAATATGTGCAATTAAAACAGTAGTAAGAAATATAGAATATCTCAACATGGTATAGTCAAATTAGAAATATATTTTCACAACATTATTTTAAACGAACCCGTAGAAAGCAACATTATTGAATCAAGTTGTAAGAAATGTAACAGCGATTAACTAGATTTTTTACCAAACCATTAAATATAACTTTAACAAAAAAAAAAGTTGTAAGAAATATATAATCGCTCAAAATGATTTGCTTAACTATCCTTGTTAGTCGCGAGTTCATGGTTCATGGTCTATTATTCTAATGTAATATTTTTTTAAACTAAATAAATAAATAATGTTATGAACATAGAATGTGTACATGTGCTTGTAACATCGACGTCAACCTAATTTTGCTAACGAAACCGATGATGTTGCTAACTTTGAAGAAACTCTCCATATCATGAAACGCTTTTGATAATCAAGAAACAGACATATGATTATGTGTCCAGTTACGTATTTCATCTGGATATACGCCTTATTAATATTGATAAATGACCATGTGAAATCGTCTTCTACAATTAGGGTGATATCTGGAGCACATCATCATAAAGTTGTACGTAAGAAATAGTTCATTTGCTATCGACAGCTCGAAATTTCATGGCTAGTTTGATGAGCCTAATTAAGGAAAAGGCGAATTTGAAAACAAGAATTAATGGACTGAGAGTATTTTCAACTCCATTCTATTTTTTCATTTAAAATTAAATTTTAGAATAATTATTTTACCAGTACCACTTCATTTTCAACTACGAAAAAGATTAATAAATATTGAGTATTTTTTTTGTGCCAAAGTAATTTTATATGTTGCTCTAATATTTTTTACTCATTACTTCATTTTCAAAGAGTCAACCATCTAATACGACAAAATTTCGTTTTTTTTGGTCGCATACGACAAAAGTCGTTATAATTAAGAATGTGAGACTTTAGATAATCTTTTCCATAATTATTAAAGAAATACACTGGATGTGTAATTTACACACGCACACACTTAAATAAGAAAGGAAAATGAACTTTGTTGTCATTTCATCACGTATTACACACACATCTGTGATTACCTCTTAACTTGATATGATCGTTTATTTGATTGCATGTTCGAATAACAAATAACTAAAAAGTTGATTTCTGGTCTGATTTCTCTCCTCTTATGCATACAATTTATACTAAAATATACTATGGGAACTAAAAAGAAAGTGTTACAGATGTGTGAAAATGTTATGAACTTCGACATAATTTGATATTGGATCACGGGGCTACTATGTGCTGACACCGACAATGAGTTGTGAGAGCTTTGCGCAAATTCGTTATGTTTTTTTTATATCGAAGAGAAAAATCAAAACGATGAATCTTTACGAGGCTCATCGATAGACTCATCTTTATATATGCTTTGGATGGTCTCGGGCATAGATTTTAGCGTGTGTATATTACCTTTACATGTTGAGATAATATCAAATGTGTCGTCCATGTTTGTAGTTTATGATTACTATTTAACAGATGAATTTTGTATAAAACAGTTAACATATCGAATTTATTTTAGATATAGATGTATTATCATAAGTCATATATAACATGTAAAAGAAAATGATAAATTAAGTCTTAAGCCTGTTTATACACTATGAACCGTGTTGAATGGACCAAAGAGGCATTTACGAGATCGGATTGAATGGTCCAAGCGACCATATATACAAATAGGCAGCACTTGTTCAAATGTCCGTGAAAAACCCCAATCAAGGAGCTCGAGAATGACCTTCAGTCCAACATTTATCCCAGTAGGATCAGCAGGCCCATGACAGGTTGGAATCACTTCCAAGTCCCACAAATTTGATAATTGAGAGACAAAAGCACAGAATAATCACACTTTTAACGACATTTTGAATGGTCTTTTGTATATATATCTTCTTTCCAGTATTACATATTAAATAATGGGGTCAAGCTACAAGAGGGTGATCCTAGAACAACGTATAGCAAAAGTGTTAAAAAAAACAACAACTGCATGTTGGAATTAGAGAGACAAGCTAGAGGATCCTAACACGAAATGCCATCATTCGATATCAACGACAGTTATATAACAACAACACTCGTACTAATTATAACAATAACAAGATGACATCAACTTTGTTCAAATCAAAGCGTTTTCTAATTTGTATATTTTTTTGGTAAAATAAAATCATCGATTCTAGGAAAGATATCCAAAGATGATGAGATTTATGATTCTTATAAATGGGTTATATAACAAGGAGTTGAGGATATAAAGTTTGGTTTTGCCAAGTTTTGATCAATATTTAAGGTTGAACTTTCATTCAAGTGTTTTTTGTATCTGTTGGAAACTTTTAACCCAAAAAAACAAAAAACAAAAACAGGACCCAACTTTAACGTAGGCTCCAATTTGACATATTGCTTTCTCCTTATGGGATACCATTTGTCCCTACAATTCTTTTTTTTATGGACCCACTTTTCTTATCACAAGTTGATTTATGAATTCTACCCAAGCTGTTTAATAGGCTAATCTTATGGTAAATCAACGTTTATGGGTCAAACATACCTAATCTTCTACAAAGTAGTCCTTTATTTAATAACTACGGATGTTTCCGCGCTATATGCGGATTGTTTTTATATAGATATTTGATTATTATTTAAGTTAAATTATTTTCACTTTAAGTTAATATTTTAAATATAATATTTAATTTTTAAAATTGTTTTGATATGATTATACATTAAAAATATTTTAACGTATTCAAAAAATGTATCATGATATAATTTTAAGAATTACCGACTTGATATATGCTAAAATTAACTGTTAATCTAAAACTTAATATTTGTATATAAACTCACTGTTATTCACTACTAACTTTCAAAATATTATTAAAATTATATTTGTTTTGACTAAATTTGATTATTATTGTTCCAATTAATTTATATTTTTATTTTTATTTCAACTGTGTTCGTGTAGTGTTTTTATTTAATTAGCAATCTCAAATACAAACAACACTCAATGTTCTAATCTCTTATAAATCTATAAAATAACTATGATTCATATAAATAAAAACAATATTTACATAGTATAAAAAATCACAATCATATTGATAAAATACAATTTTGATTTGGTCTATGAAGTATACGTAAACTATAAAAAATATAGATGAATAAGACAAGTAATACATATACAAATATAATTTAATACTAACTCATTATGTTAAATAAAGTATGTTGAGTTTCTCAAAACTCAAAAGATGTAAAAAACTTTGCTTGTAATTTAACTTAAACATTTTTTCTTAAACTACACATATATATTTTGATAAGCCTTTATAATTAAAATAATAATATATATTATATTATTTTTGAAGGAGTTTCTTAACCTAGTAAAAAAAAACCATATTAGTTTTTCATTCAAGTTGGGTTTGTAAGAAATTTTGTTGATGTGGATAATTAAAGATTTTTTTAGACATTTTCTTCTACAAAAAAATGTGTATCTTATTTTTTCAAAAATGCATTATTATTTAATTTAAAAATTTACTAACTTGATATATATAAAAATTAACTGTCATCTAAAACTTAATTTTTGTTTATAAACTGTTTAACTCATGTGTTGACATGTATCGCTTGTAGTAACTTGACTACCTTAAGCCAACTAAGACAAACATTGAATAAATATCAGTGCATAAAATTTTTTTTTTGTCTATCATTTTCTGCAATGTAAATAGTAACGATGATCGAAATCTTCATATCGATAAATGCTTTGAAAAGCTTCCTATAATTTCTGTTGTCTTGTTGGTTGCCATAAATCTAACGTACTATGATGTTTAATCTGTATGTTTCTAAAAGGTGAATGTTTTAGTTTTTTATAATTTATAAATGTTTTAAATTTTATTTTAGAAATTATTATTTTGTAATCTTGTTTTTATTAACTATTATTTAAGTTTTTTAGAGCAATTTGTTGTCCAATATATTCACTATATTACAAAAAGGAGTATATATTAATGCTACAGATTTAAATGATATTTATTTTACTGATTTAGAAAATGATATTTAGTTTTATTTACTTATTCCTAATAACTATGTTAACTTAGTGGTTCTATTTATTTATTTTATGTGTATTTCAAAAGATATAAACTGAAATTTTTTTATTATTGTTATATTACAAACAAAAGAAGTATATATTGATGCTATAAATTTAAATAATGTTTATTTTACTGATTCAAAAAATGATATTTTAATTTTATTTACTTTTGTTGGTAACTATATTAATTTTAGTGACAAAAATGAGTATATATTAATGCTACAGATTTAAATGATATTTATTATACTGATTAAAATGATATATAGTTTTATTTAGTTTTTGCTAATAACTATATTAATTTAATGGTTCTATTTATTTATTTTATGTGTATTTCAAAAAATCTCCAAGTGAGAATTTTCATTATTGTTAATTTGTTATATTACAAACAAAAGAGTATATATTGATGCTATAAATTTAAATAATATTTATTTTACTAATTCAAAAAATAATATTTTATTTTTATTTAATTTTGTATTTAACTATATTAATTTTGGTTCTATTTATTTACTTTATGTGTATTTCAAAAAAATCTAAAGTGGGAATTTGTATTATTATTTTTTGCTGATGTGTCATATTTTTAGAGTAGTTTGAAAAGCTGAGGTGGATAGCTTAAGGAGCCCCAAATAGTTTCTTTTATTTAGTATAGATTATGTAACTAAGAAACAAACAAAACTTATTATTATTCTTCTTATCACATGCTTAAAACGAGATTCATTTTTATATTTTGTTTTTGCTATCTAATTTATTTAAACACTAAAGTAAAAATGTTTTATTTTTATAAATCGTTCTACTTCATTATATATATATATATATATATTGAATTACTGTCACTAGTTAGTTTGCAAATAATATTTGGTAAGATAAATCAAGAATATTATTTTTCCAAAGTGAATATATGAATATCAACAATATCTATAGTTTAGTAAGAGCTGTATGAGGCTAACTGATGGATCGTGTATTCTGAATACTTAAGAAAAGTATAGCAAATAATAATCCTTTTGTTTCTAAATCCAAAATGACAAACAAAACCACAGAAGAAAAGGAAATAATCAATCACACATAACTTTGAGAACAATCGCAAACACACAAATTTCCAAATTACAACTTTACTTGTCTACACCAACTGGTCCTAATATACTAAATGCGTGACGTAAAATATAACAATGTAGTTAAAAGTTTTTACTTGATAGCGTATGGTCATTGCGAAACTGCAATTAACTAACATACATGTAAAAAGGAAAAGTCATACTATTATTACAGACAGAAATTATAAAATGAGAGAGAGAGTGTGTGAGGAGTGTCTTTAATCAACATAGTGTATATAAAAGGTTAGAAGTTAGAAGCTTTTGTAAGCTTGGAGAACAGAAGCGACGGTCCCAACAAGAGTAAAAAACAAGAGAAGTATTGCGGCCATTGTAGCTGTTCCGGTCCACAAGTCGTTGAAGTAGACTTTGTTGAGAGTGGCCCAACACCTTTTTCTGCGAGATGTATAGTGAGCTCTGAGATTCATTGCTATGCTGTAATATTGGGAGTTCTCCGGTGGCTTCAGGCCAAGGTTTAACTTGTTTACCATGTCCACCGCAAAGCTCGGCCGACCCATACCGCTCATTAGCACCCCTATGTTCCAGCAATACACATGTACATGTTTTTTTTTTGTTATATATTATTATCCATCAAGAAATTTCATATATAATGTATTAATTGTTATGTTTGTTGTACCTTCCGTTGTGAGTACCTCGGCGTCTTTATCGTTAGTAATTAGGAAATTCAAGAAGTTTATGTAGTTAGAAGTATAGGGTTTTACATCAGCATGGCACTGCTCATACGCAATGACATTTCTTAAAATGATATCAGAAGTATCGTCCGTACGGAAGCTTGGCATCACTAAGCAACCTTTGTTAAACACCATATGCAGCGAGTAATCATCAACCTCTTTTCTCATGGAGATCGGAAGCGAGTCCAACGGCTGTTGATTCCGGAAAAACAGGCGTTGGATCCCGTCTTGCTTTGAGGAGTTCAAGAGATGAAATGCCTAAAACAAGAAAATCGTATATATTTTTTTAACAAAGCACTTAAGAGTACTATGTCAAAGAGTTAGATAATATTGTTTGAGATTTGTATAATATTGTTTTTAGAGAAAATGCTCTAAAATATTTCAGAATGATAAAATAATGTAAAATTAATACCTTATTGAAGGAAAATTATGAAAATGGTCTATTTTTTACGATTTTTATGAATATCAGCGTTACTCTTCTAACTACTGTTATTTTTAAACTAATTACAGACTAACGGCATACTGAATGCAAACTATTGACAGACTGTTTGGTCAAATAATTGAATGTAGACTAATGCTAGACTAATTATAAATTATTAATAGATTAACAGCAGATTGAAAACAAACTAATAGATCTTTTTTATGAGTCATTTTAGTAAAAATCATGTTTTATAATAAAATTATCAAATGGGTTATTTCAAAAATTATCCCTTTTTCTTATTAGCTAGTAATAGATAGTACAGGTCAATTCATTCTATTAAAAAAATTCACCTTGAATTCCACTCCTACATGGGATAAATTAACCGCGCTCTTCATATCGACGATGGGTGGCCCACTCAAGTCGTTTAGCTCTGGAGATTGGTAAAGCGATTCCTCATAAACACACCTGAAAATGTCTGTGAAATGATTGAAGTTTGTATCCGGTTTGATCTTTCTGTGTATGGAAAACGATTCGAGGATGAGTCGTGCGGGCGTCTCGTATCCCCAGAACTCCATCAAATAAGGACCAAACAATTTATCGAAAATGAAATAAGGAAGCTGGTTCTCGAGCATGATGAGATCTTTAATCACTATCGAGGTGTAAATGTCGCGGTCCACGATCAGGTCACCTGAACTTCCACGACATTCTTGAAGTTTGATAATGAACTCCATGATGAATACTGAATCCTGAAGAATAAGGTCCACGAAATTTTCAGATGATATCAAATTCATCGGGTCCTCGTACCGTGCCCGAATGTTTTCTTCTTCCGCTTGTATCGTTTCTTTTATTTTTGTAACGATATCTTCCCCGACTCTTTCGCTGAATGATTTTAAGTACTTCCGCTTTATCTCCTCCATCTTCTTATATTCATTTTCTAGAAGCCTAACAAACATCCATCACCACATTAAACTTTTTTTATTATACAAATGACAATTCCAATTAGACACTAATAATTTACAAAAGTTAAGAAAAGGGGAGCGAAAGATTATAGTTTCATCTACAAAATTAACGCAAGCTTTGATATTCGTGTGCGTATGTTTTGTGTGTTTCACGTACCCTGGTTTCAGTTTGACAGAAAGATGAAGCGGGCCGATGAGTACCATCCGAGGTGTATAGGCTTCGGGTTTCACATCGCGCATTTGCCTTGGTACTCTGTAGATGCAAGGATCCATATCTTCGATAAGTTAAGACCTACTTCTTTTTCGGCTGCATCAAGTTTTGTTTTGAGATTTTGTACAATCAACCATAACAAATATCAAAGACAGAACACTAGTTTAAGAAGAGGAGCTTACTGCTGATGATATGGATGAGCTGTATAACCCTTTACGATTTGTCTTGTCTTAAATATATAGCGGGAAGAGGGGTCTTATAACACCGGAAAAAATGGTCAGAGAGGAATCGAAGTGGATCATATTGTATAATAAAATGGCGCAACTTGTGATGATTAATGAATTATGCAAAACATATTTTCACGATCCACATGCATTATCTATTATTAATAAGACCTTCATATAGTAAATTATATAGTACAACTGACGTAGATAAACTTACTAAATAAATAAACTAGAGCAACTTGTGATTACAATAAGTGAATGTCATATTATAACATACGTTAATATATATATTGACCAAGTAAGTTGTTGTGCATGTGGCGAATATATCTTATCAAATTCAAATGTAGCATAATGTTTATGTTGTGAGTAATACATGAACCGTTTTTAGGTCTTCCATTTTCTTTGTAATAATGCTTAACATTAAAGTCAACGTTAAAAGTTAAAAAGTCTTGTGGAATCACGTTGGAGACCTTGTTGAGTTTAACGTTGTAGGATTCGTCATGAATGTTGGGCACATAGTACATTGCATATCGTACATCTGAAAACTCTAAAGTGATCAATCTCGTCTCCATCTAAAAGAGACACTGCGAACAGAGTATCAAGCTCAACCGGAGGAGATGTGCGAAAAAGAAACAAAAACAAAAAAAATCGGGCGTTGAAATCGGGACTTTTTTGTTACTACAACATAAATCGGAACTTGTAAATTACTCGTCTCTATTTGACGGTGATTAGTTCAAGATGAATCATGTGTAGCTTAATTATTTTAGTTGTCAATATTTCATAGGTTCATATTAACTTACCATCTCATCATGCTAATTTATTTGAGATAGTTAACTATTATGAAAATATATACACATTTGAAATTTATATTAATCTATTCTCCAATAAAAAATAATTATACACCTACTGTATACTCTTACGTTGTATATAAACACCAATTAAATTGTTATATTTACAATTAATATGATTACTCCCATTTTGCTATTTATGAATGTTAAGTATTTCCTCCTTTTTATAAAGACTGTCATTTTGACACTTTTTTTCTTTCACAAATAGTGTCATTCTATATTTTTATGCAATTTTTAAAATAAATTTCAATTTTATTATTTATTATTTTAGCTTATTAATTAGATAGAAAACCTAATTTATTGTATTACTAAGGGGACAATAAAAATTTAGATTTTTTTTTAAATTTATGTGAAAATTGTCAATGACAGTTTTTGTGAACAGAGAAATTATCTTTTGAATAGTTATGGCTTGAAGACTTAGAACATTTGTATTCTCTAATTAAGAATAAGTAATAACTATGCATTTGTACTCTTATGCATCATATATATTAGTTAATCCCCAATCATAATAGTTATATGCTTATGCAAGTAAAAACTAATTAGATGATGTCAATTGATGATGATGTGGATGCACAAGAATAAAGACAAAACAGAACTTTATATAAATAAGTTCTTATTATTAGATTTTTTTTTTTTACATCAAGTTCTTATTTTTAGATAACATCTAATATGTATTAATTTAAGTGCAATTATTGTCGTATCACTCACATTAAGATAATTTTCTTGATTTTCAGATTAGTATACATGTTTGTCCTAAATAATTTATAAAAATATTAATTACATAGAATGATAACCCATTGGCCGACTAAGTCAAGATAAACATGCAAACACACACATGAAGAGATATTTAATGGTTTCAGATTACTATATGTTTGTCTTATATAGAATAGTTTATACAAATATTAATACGTAGACTAACCCGATTGGGTCAAGATAAAGATACGTTAGATTTCTAATTTATGGGTTTGTAAAGTTCTCGTTACGAAGGAAAGCCGTGTCAGTCATAGGTACTTCAGCAATTCGACGGCATCTAATAAGTTATAGACTTAAAGTTGTTATACAAATGAACAGTTGCTTTTGTTAATAAGATAGAATATCTCAACAAGAAGATAGAATATCTCAACAAGGTCATTAGCTTAATTATTCTAGTAATCGATAGTTCACAGTTCACTCTCTAGATGACTTTTATTCTAACGTAAATTTCTTTAATAAATAAGTATATATATATTTTTTTTTTGAATGGAAATATGTTAAATTACTCCAGCCAAAAAAAGACGCTTTTACAACTAATGTAACTTAGGAAAAAACAGATAAAAGCAGAGAATCTATGTATTCACCATTCACGTTATCGAACCGAAAACCATGTCTCCATCCCTGTTTCGTACCGTGAGTCTCCATCAATTCTGATTGTGGAGAGTCGATTTCTGATCAGCTTGTCAATCATGCGAGCTAGTTGCGACGAAGCAGTTGGTGTTTTGCCGTTCCTTCTGTTATTCTGTTCCCGCCAAATGGTGTGAATCGTTGCTTGGAAAGCATATCGCAGCAGAAACAAAGATATGTATTCTCGAGTTTCATCCTCCAAGAGTCCGATGATTATGTTCCAGTCTATTGAGAACTCCGTGTGGAGTAACTTCTGAGTTAAGTTCCCCCAGATTGCCGCTGAGTAGCTGCAGCTGAAGAAAAGGTGGTTCCGTGTTTCCAAAGGGTCTTGGCACAAAATATAAGTATATTAAACATAGAATATGTATATATATACGTGCTTGTAGCATATGGACATCAATCTTGATGTTGCTAACTCAGTTTTTTCAGGGATAAATATCACTTGACTCTTCTGATAATCCAGAAACTGTCATTATTCTGTACAATTACGTATGTTATCTCGATCACGCAGGGGCGGATCTAGCATGAAGACTACGGGGTCACGTGCCTCCGGTTGATTTAAAATTTTTTGTATCATAATTCTAACTATCGGTTGATATATAGCATATCTGGTTAGATTTTTTAATGGTGCCCCCGGTAAAAAAAACTTCTAGATCCGCCACTGATCACGCATTAATATTGATACACTGCTCTGATTGGTAATACTTGTGGAATGGTGGAATGGTAGAAAAACCAAAAAACGCAATAATTTTGCCAATAAAAAAAATTTGCAGAAAAACGCAAAAATGTAAGATCTGTAGAATTGCGTTTTTGTTTACAGAAAATACAATAAAATCTTCATTAAGCGGAAAAGCGTGTTTGGAGCAGATTATTTGCGAAATCAATGTTTATATTATTCAATTATATTTTATTATTTAAATAAATACAAATAAATTATTTAGTGTTACAAAAAAATATTTAATGATAAAGTTATATCTATTATTAAAGATTTTTTAATATTTTTTTTTATAAAAAAAATAAATTATTAAAAAGTTACAATTAGAATTATATCTTCTTATAATAATTGATTAAATTATTAATATTTTATTTTTTTATAATGTATAGTAAAAAGCAGAATATTTTCAATAAGTATATTCTGCAATTCCATAATTCTACTATAATTTATCCAATCGTATTAAAAAAGTACCGCAATTCTGTAATAAATTATTCCGTAATTTATTTTTTCTGCCATTTCGCAATTCTGCGATATAAAAAATGTGTTAATTAAAGTGATATTTGGAGCACATCATTATAAAGTTTTACATCTAAGTGCTCTGGACAGCTCGAATTAATTCAACAAATATAAGAAGAATTTGACCGGTTTGATGAGCCTAAGGAAAGGGCCCGCCTGAAAGCAAGAATGGACTAAGAGGAGATGTTGCATATAGACATGGTTACAATTTGCAAACAGTTATTGTTGAAAAAAGAAAGAGGAAATGTTTGTGTCTGTCTTTTTTTATAACTAAATGCAAACGATAAATGTGGAAGAGTCAAACATGTAACAAAAAAAAAAAAAGAGTCAAACGTTTAATACGACCACTTTTTTTTGTCACTTACGATAAAAAAAACGTTATAAAAAATCTTGAATTTTGACATTATTAATTTAAAGTTTTTTCGTGACTGTTAAATAAAAATGGACATTGGATGTGTATTTACATGTTCGTATATGACATAGAAACATTTATTATGACTCAAGAAGACGTTTATGACATTATTGAAACGTATTAAATTTGTCCGTGTTCAAAATTCCGTGAAAAGGCCCACGAAAGAACTTCAGTCTAATTATATCTGGCCCATTAAACCAAATATACCGAGACTACAGAATAAGCACACTTTTAACAATAATTGACCGAAATGATACAAATTAATATAACATCTACATTTCAAACCAGCTTTGTACATGTCTTCTTTCCAATATTACATGTTGCTCGAGATGAGATCAAGCTACACTTTCAAACATTACTTCAAACTTGTCTTTTATCCAATATTACATCTTAGAACAACGTATAGCAAAAGTGTTAAAAGGCAACTGCATGTTGGCATTAGAGAGACAAGAGAATCCAAGCACCAAATGTGCCATAACTCGATATTAACGACAGTTATATAACAGCAAGGGTCGTACCAATTATGACAAATCAAAATCAAATAGAGTTTGTTTTCTTATTTGTCGAAACTTTTCAGTACGAGCACTAGAAAAGATATCCAAAGTTTATGAGATTATTGATTCTCTTATAAATGACTTATATAACAAGGAATGGAGGATATAGAGTTTGGTGTTGCCAAGTTTGAATTAATGTTTAAGGTTGAACTTTCACTCAAATATTTTTGATCTGTTGTATACCTTTTAACCCAAAAACAAACAAAAAAATAGGACCCAACTTTAACGTAGGCTCCAATTTGACAAATTGCTTTCTCCTTATGGGATACCATTTGTCTCTACAATTCTTTTTTGATGGACCCACTTTTTCTTATCACAAGTTGATGTGTGAGTTCTACCCAATCTGTTTAAGTTTTAACGATTGTACGCTAATCTTATGGTTAATCAACGTTTTTGAGTCAAAATCAACATATCTAATCTTCTACAAGGTAGGGTTTTGTTTCATAATCAACTAATAAAGAAACAAAACATATTATGATTCTTACTCCATGCTTAAAAAGTTAAACGAGATTGATTTTTATTTACTGTTTTTGCTATCTAATTTAGTAAAACACAAAAATTATAATGTTTCTATAAACCCTTCTACTTAATTATATAATATATAACATATGATATATATATAGTTGAATTACTATCACTTGTTAGTTTGTAAATAATATTCGGTAAAATAAAAAAAGAAAATTATTTTCCCAAAGTGAATATATAAATATCAACAATATCTACGGTTTACTAAGAGGCCAACTGATGATGGATGGATTGTGTATTCCGAATATTTGAGAAAAGTATAGCAAATAATGGTATACTTGAAAAACATAAGCAAATTCTAGTTTTCTTTCTCATCATTTTGTTTCTAAATCCAAAAGAACAAACAAAACCACGGAACAAAGAGAAATCAATCAATCACGCAGCTTCGAGAGCAATTGCAAACACACAAATTTCCAAATTACAACTTTACTTGTCTACACCAACCGGTCCTAAAAATACTAAATGCGTAACGTAAAATATAACAATGTAGTTAAAAGTTTTTACTTGTTAGCGTATGGTCATTGCGGAACTGCAATTAACTAACATACATGTAAAAAGGAAAAGTCATACTCTTATCACAGACATAAATTATAAAATGAGAGAGAGAGAGTGTGTGAGGAGTGTCTTTAATCGTATGATACAGACACTTGTGACTTTAATAAAGTCATTGGCGTTGCTTTGTCGTTTTCTCGCGACAAATTTTTTTCGACACGACGTCTCCTAATTATCCACCTCTGTCTTTTTCCTTTTCTTATTTTTCTCTGCCAAAACACAAAGATTTTTTCTTATATTTATTGATAAAATAATCTCTTTTTTTTTTCTCCTGCTCCAAAAAATCTCTATTTAACTATTTTTATTAATATTTTCTTGTTTTTTTTCCTATACAGTATGTTATGTTATGTATCAGTAATTGAGTATGGAGATGTAGTGTTAAAATAGCGAAAATTAACAGTTTTTTGGTGGTCCAATAATTGTTAGAATTTGTCATATTGGTTAATTTATACCAAAGTTAGATTTTCTGCTATAAGTTTAATTATGAATGTTTACGTGTATATATTTTAATGACAAAAATATTAAAGATTTATGAGTTATGTATGTGTAGTCTACATTTCAGTTTGAGATACGATATGAACCAAGACTAGCATACATACTTTTATTGAAGAAGCACATACATATAAATTGATAAAATCCAAAATTTAATTTGTTTATTATGACTAGAATTTTGTTTCCTAACTAAAAGATTATTCTTTAGTCAGATCTGGTTTAACAAGAGCAATTTATAATTTATTTGGAGGAAATATAAAATAGGTGGACGCATCAAATGATATATTTCTTAAAAAAAATTATTGAATTTGTTGGTAATACTCTTTTAGTTAGGAAAGAAACATGAAAAGGATATGATGCATTCTTCTTTTCTTTTTTACTAATTAAAAGATAATCTTTGACTATAAAGTTTTGATCAGCAGACAGGAGAATATGATAAACGTATCATTAAGATTAAGAGATCACACGTTTCGAGTTGTGGTGTGATATTAGAATAAATAAGATATATTTCTAATCAGAATTTAATATGAATTAACTACTAAAGAAAAAGGGAGAATAATTAAGCTAATTTTAGAAGGAGTTGCCAAAAAAAAAAAAAAGGAATGGGAAAAAGTAGGACCCAGAGGGCAGCAAATATCAAGGGGGTTATTGTTAGTTGTTGGGACTCAGTCACTCAGAACTCAGAAGAGACTCAGTCACTCAGAACTCAGAAGAGACTCATTCTTTCTCCCTCTCCCATCCCATCATCCTTTTTGTTTTTCTATTTTTATTAGCTTCTTTTGCTCTCAATTCGAAGATATGATAGTGTGTAATTGTGTATTCATAGTTAAGAACTTACAACTTTCATTTATTTATGAGTGAATAATCTAAGTGTCAAATATGTAAAAGAATAGTCAAATTTTCTGCCTTGTGATCAAAATACTTACCGCATTTAGTAGAATCAAGTTATTGAATACCGCAACATTGGATAAAAATTTCATGATCAAAGTACAATGTTCCTTTTGATACATCAATCAAGAAAAGTTTTATCAAAAATAAATATACATAATTAAAATATATTAAAATTTATTATGTGAATAAAGAGTATATAAAATTAAAAAACTAAACATGTTATGTTTTCAAATTCCGCACGCAATCATTTGTCACCATCAAATATCTTTTTGTATTCTTACTAAACATATTTGAGGATATTTGTCCAATAAGAAAATGCATGGCCATTTACATAAAATAAGCAAAAGTAAATCCAAATTGGGTATAAGAAAACTGATTTTTTTTCAAATGGACTAATCCAGTTTTATCGAAATAATCCTTAAATTTGACCTACAATTATATATATACTATCTGTTTCATTTTCTTCAAATAATAACATTGCTGATAAATCACTGAAACAAACCAATATTTGAACTTTACTTTTATTTTTTTACCAAGAAATAGTAATATATTAGTATAATTTACTGAATGAGTCGGTGTGATTGTTTGATCAGATTTTTATATTACAGACTGCTGAAACTATATATTTAAATTTTTTTTTGTACAGCAGTACATACAATACTTTAGTTTATCAATAGCAAAATGCTTATTTTCATATTATTTGTCTCGCAGAAAGAGAGAAAAAGCGCTTTTGTTACAATTTTGAAAGGAGCCTACTCTTCTGTCTTTAGCTGGTTGGTTGGCTCTTAACAACGCAATGAAAAGAAAAATTCCAAAAGCTGATTAATTTTTCAAATAAAAAACCGAAAACATATAATACATAAACATCAAAAAAGAAAGAACAAAGAAAGATTCCAAAGAGATACTGTTTACTTTTGTAAGAGTATGCAAAAACAAATTGATCAATTTCTTCTTTTTATTCCTGGGAAGTTCAGAAAATTACGTTGCAAACGAAAATAACTTTAGTACCATAGAGTCCAATCGATGAATCTTTGAAGTTTGCTGGTTCACTTCTTGGCTTTTCGCATTAATTCGAATGCTACTAGAAACTATCTAAATGGATTGAAAATGTATATCACGTTATCTTCTCAAATGTGCATATAAAAGTATATTCTAAACAGACTTACAAATACTTAACGCATTTAGTCTGAGCAACAAAAAACACTTAAACGTATTTAGTAATAATATATAACCTCAAACAATAGATTACGTGAGTAAAACTATGTATGAGTAAACCCGTATGTGATAACCTGGATGTCTATGTAAAAAGTAATGTACTATATCAGAAAAATTATCTGTCTTATATATTAAATAAAAATATAAAATCGTCTAAAATGTTATTCGACCATCTTGTTCACACAAAAATGTTTTGCCCATTTTCTTATATAGATGAAATTTATACCGTCATTTCCTTAAATTACTCTAAAACTAAGACACTTCTGCTTCTAACAATAAAAAAGAGAAAACTAGAAATAAATCAATAATTAGCATAAATGTGAACTTTTGTGTGGACGTGTGTATATTTTCTTTTAGTATATATGTTCTTAAAAATAAATAGTTATATGAAAATTTAATACTTTATTGACAGATAAAAAAAAAAAAAAAAAAAAAGAAGAAGAAGGCGAAAGAGAGTGTAGGTGTGGGTTCTGTTCTGTCTTGGCTTTGTCTCCCCCGCTTATCTCTCCCTCTCTCTCTTCTCTCCACCAGAATGGCTTTTATTTCACTTTTTTGCTAATTTACTCTTTGATATATTTTTCCCATCTGCAATTTATCTAATGTCTGTTCCTTCTGCTCCCTCTTCTCAGTACCTGGCTGCAAATGGAGGAAGAAGAATCATCATACTTTGAAAACCTTCTTCTCATTTGATACCCTTTCTTCTTTCTCTCTCTCTCTCTCTCTCTGTCTCTCTCTCTATTATTCTTGTTTCCACTCTCTTAGTACTCATCTTTCACAATCACATCAATAACAAATATTCAATTAAGCGCTTCTTGCTTGTGAAATCTACCTGAAAAAGGAGAGGGATTCTGTCACTTCAAGCACAAATTCTGCGAACTTTCCATTGATGGGTTTTACTTGTTTTGTTGTAATTTGATTAAAAAAGCAGCCTTTTTTTTTCTTAATTTGTCTCCTTGCTCAAAAGAAGCGGTTCCATGGAGTTTGACTTGAACACTGAAATCGCGGAGGTGGAGGAGGAAGAGAATGATGATGGAGGAGTAGTGGGAACAGGGATTGAGAAGGGAAAGGTTGGAATTTTACCATCATCTTCTTCTTCATGCTCTTCTGGTACATCGTCATCATCCTCTACAGCTTCTGCATCCTCCATATACTCTGAGCTATGGCATGCTTGTGCTGGTCCTCTCACTTCTCTGCCCAAGAAAGGCAATGTCGTTGTGTATTTCCCACAAGGTCATTTGGAGCAAGATGCTATGGTTTCATACTCATCTCCTCTTGAAACCCCCAAATTTGACCTCCATCCCCAAATCTTCTGCAGGGTGGTTAATGTTCATTTGCTTGTAAGTCTGTCTGTCTCATTACCTAAAAAACATTCCTTTTGTGTTACTCTTTACTATTATTGAACAAGTTCTGTTTTTTTTTCTTCCTTATAATTGTGGTAATTGTTTGCAAATTTGGTTCCTGTTTTGGGGGAGAAAAGGCTAATAAGGAAAGTGATGAGGTCTACACTCAAGTCACTCTGCTTCCACTGCAAGAGGTATTCTTTTTAATGGTTCTACTTGCTCTTTGGCAATTTAATCGATGTTTGGAAGAAGCAAATTTACACAAAGCATCATAGACCATTTGAAGTAGAGTAGTATTATATGACTAGTATTGTTTGTAGCGACTCAAAACCATCATCTTATCTGAAAAGAACATAGAGAATGAAAGCATTTGGAATCTTCATGAATTTGCATTTATTAATCTCAATGGCAATGATATGTTGAATGAAACTTCTTGAATTTTTTGTAGTTTTCGATGCAAAATGGGGAAGGGAAAGAGGTCAGGGAGTTAGGAGGTGAGGAAGAGAGGAACGGAAGCTCATCTGTCAAAAGAACACCTCATATGTTCTGCAAAACCTTAACAGCTTCTGACACAAGCACTCATGGAGGCTTCTCCGTACCTAGAAGAGCCGCTGAAGATTGTTTTCCTCCCCTTGTATGGTTCTCTGCATCCCATTCTCTTCGTTTTTTTCCCTCTCTCGAGGAGTAGTTTGAACTTCTTGTTTATAAGCCTTATTTGCAATATTTTTTCACGGATGTTAGGACTACAAACAACAGAGGCCATCTCAGGAGCTCGTTGCAAAGGACCTCCATGGGGTAGAGTGGAGGTTTCGGCATATATATCGAGGTGGCCTCGGGTTGAGTTTGTTATTGTTCATTTCTTTCTTTTTCTTTGTCAATGAAACCAAAATGCTTTCGTTTTGTCTCTTTGTAAATATAGGTCAACCAAGGAGGCATCTGCTGACCACTGGTTGGAGTATATTTGTCAGTCAAAAGAATCTTGTCTCTGGTGATGCGGTTCTCTTTCTGAGGTAAGCATTTGTCATTTCAGTTTATCAGATGATTTTTGGTGGTTTGAAGTTTATTGATCCAAAAAATGTTATTTATATTACAAACATTGCGTTTCTAGGGACGAAGATGGAGAGCTGAGGTTAGGAATCAGAAGATCTGCGCGGCCAAAAAACGGACTTCCTGACTCGATCATCCAGAAGAATTCATGCTCCAACTTTCTGTCTCTTGTGTCTAATGCTGTATCTACGAAAAGCATGTTTCATGTGTTCTACAGTCCACGGTAAAATATAAAATTTAAAACTGCTGTTAGTGATGATTCTTGATTATCTTCAGAAAGGAAAAACAGGAGAACTATAATGTTGATTCATGGGTTTATTTATATACAGAGCGACGCACGCAGAGTTTGTGATTCCTTATGAGAAGTATATCACAAGCATCAGGAATCCCATTTGCATAGGCACAAGATTCAAAATGCGATTTGAAATGGACGACTCTCCTGAGAGAAGGTATCGTTGCTTTCTTGCTTCTTTGGTCGTGTTGTGGCCAGCTCTTTCTTGGAATTAGAATTGAAATTGGCGTTTTCTTGCAGGTGCTCTGGTGTAGTGACAGGAGTCTGTGACTTGGACCCATATAGGTGGCCAAACTCTAAATGGAGGTGCTTGTTGGTACGTCCTCCCTCATCTATTTCAAGTATCTCTCTACTTAAAATGTAGAAGAATTTTCATTTTCCAAGACTTTCTGTTACTAAAATCCTTTCACATTTGTTTTGCAGGTGCGATGGGATGAGTCTTTTGTGAGTGATCACCAAGAAAGAGTCTCCCCTTGGGAGATTGATCCCTCAGTTTCTCTCCCACCCTTAAGCATCCAGTCATCTCCAAGGCCTAAAAGGCCATGGGCAGGTTTACTGGATACAACTCCACCCGGAAACCCCATAACCGGTACATCAGATTACACATCTGTTTCTCTTTGGAGGATATTTGCAAATAGTTCTTAGCTTTCTTAATAATTGACTACTGTTCTTGGTCTGCAGCAGAAAGGGGTGGTTTTTTGGACTTTGAGGAGTCGGTCAGACCCTCTAAGGTCTTGCAAGGTCAAGAAAATTTAGGTTCTGCATCACCCTTACAAGGGTTTGATGCTATGAACCGCCGGATACTGGATTTCGCTATGCAGTCTCACGCGAATCCAGTTCTTTTATCGAGTACTAGAGTGAAGGATCGGTTTGGTGAGTTTGTGGATGCTACGTCCCTGGATCCAGCCTGTTCAGACAGGTTTCCAAGGGTCTTGCAAGGTCAAGAAATTTGCTCGCTTCGATCATTCCCTCAGCTTGTTGGTTTCAATCCAGCTGCTGCTTCGGGAAAGTCTAATCTTGGATACACTGATCCTTTTGCTTATCAAGCCAACAAGTCAAGTTTCTATCCGTTAGCGTCACAAGGGATTAGGAGCACTCATATTCCATATCAGTATCCATACAACGCTGGAGAAAAATCCTCTGGTCACGCTTCTGGTGCAATGAACTTTGGTGTGGAGAGTAGAAGGTTTGATGCACAAAATGAAGGTGGCCTATCCAAGAATGTTACAGCTGATTCGCCATTCAAGATGGGGAAACAGAAAGGCGGCGACTTTGATACGAATGCTTCATCAGGGTGCAAACTTTTCGGATTCTCCTTACCTGTGGAGACACCTGCGCCTAACCCGCAGAGCTCGAGCAAAAGGATCTGCACAAAGGTACAAACCTTTTCTTCGTCTTGTTGGAGTTGCATTTTCGAGATGTCTCTCTTCTTATGATTTTCTTGTGTTGGAAAGGTTCACAAGCAAGGAAGCCTGGTGGGGAGAGCTATTGATTTGTCAAGACTAAACGGATACAATGATCTCCTTACCGAGCTTGAACGGTTGTTCAACATGGAAGGGCTTCTCAGGGATCCAGAAAAAGGATGGAGGATCTTGTACACCGATAGTGAGAGCGATATGATGGCCGTTGGAGATGATCCATGGCAGTAAGTTTTGTTGAAATGTCTTGTAAAGCTCAGTCACAACTTCTTAGCTGTTAAACCTAGGAAATGAACTTTTTGAGCTTTTGCTGTGGACAGTGATTTCTGCAATGTGGTGTTGAAGATACATTTGTACACGAAAGAGGAAGTGGATAATGGAAATGACGATAACAAGAGCTGTTTAGAACAAGCAGCTCTCATGATGGAAGCATCAAAGTCATCTTCTGTGAGCCAGCCTGACTCTTCTCCAACGGTCACTAGGGTTTGATATAAACAAATCCAGAAAGAAAGCTTCTTTCCTTTTGTACTTTTAAAAGTGTGTTTTGTTTACTAAAGATCTTGACCCTTTGTCTTTCTCTTGGATATGTCTCTGTGTCGATGGATGAATTTGAATTAAGGTCTTGCATTTTATAAAGTTCAATAATGATGGAGGGATATTATGATATAAATTTGTACCATGCCATGAAGTTGCATGTTGGTGAATAATTGCAATTTCAATATTTAGAAAAATCAAAGAATTTATATATACCTATAAGCAACGGAAAACCATCCATTTTTCGGAGAAAATGCTATAGAGTATCATCTCAAAAGCTTCGACAATCTAATTCAAAACAAAGTTCAAGAACTCTTCTCAGGCTTCAAAGTTCACATACAAGAAGTGCTCGCGATCAACAGATTTTGTTTTGATCAAAAATTAAAATAGATCCGGATATCACGTCAATGGTAACACTTCATGTTGTTATATTTGAGCTAATGACTATGGCTCCAGAACTAGAAGATGGGGGAGGTTAGTGTTAACTATACTTAACTTTTTTCCTTGTGTGATTGTAAGTTTGTGTTATTCCTTTCACGATGACATTCACTTATTTTAATGGAATATATCTACTGGCTGGATCAAGCCTATAAATGTGAAGATCCATAAATGCGTTTTAACATATGCTTGAAATTAAGTAACTCTAAAATTAACTTGGAACTGCTTTCCGATTTTTTTAAAAAAACTTCAAGAGTTTTTCTTCTTCTTGCAGTTGAATGTGAATTCTCTTGTTCAGCATCTATGACTTATATCTATTTACTTCAATCCTATTCTTGAATCTTGGAGAGACATACGTTACGTACGCAGGTGTTGCTAAGTAGCTATACTACACTTCATTGGTATATAAGCATAGTGGATAACACAACTAAGTCTGCAAATTTTGATTAACTGTTGATGTCTGCGTGTAATCTTACCTTTCAATGGAAGGTAATAATAAAAAAAAATGGTGAAAATGTAATAACGAAATAATTATGAAGAAAAATCATAGTAAAAAGAAATATATAATTATAAAAGGGAAATATTACAACATAGTAATTCTGAAAGAAAATAAAGACACAACATAATAACAAGAACTGAGGAATTTAAAAAAGGGATGAACACAATACAAATAAGAAGAAATTAGAACAAACTAAAACTTCTTTTTTGTAAATCACAATAGAAACGATTAATGGTAATCGGATCTAGGGTGAGGAGGATGAGCAGAAAGATGATGTTCATTTTCAGAGATGTTTTCTTCCTTGAAGCTCAGATTTGGATTCTGGTTGTAATCTGCTGCTCTGTAGTTCATACTGTACTGCGGAAAGAACCCTTCAGCCATATGACCATGGCTATTGTTTCCAAACATTAATGGATGATGATTAGGAAGCATCATGTTCGGGTTGTAGAGAGCATTCATGTTCACCATTCTTCTTTGATTAAACTGATCGAAATCTGGATTGATATGATTACCACCATCAACCATTGAAGGAGCATTGCTAGAACTTCCCACGTAGAAGTTTTGGAATGGAGTGTTTTGAAAGATCTTGGAGGCTTCTTGAGTAACCGACTTCTTCAGAAGTTCAAGCTGCCTCTTGAATTCAAGGGCGTGGGTTAAGTCAAATCCTTCGATAGGTTCATCCCACCAATTCATAGGCTTCTTGGAATTTTCTCTGATCTTTTTCAGTTCTTCATACTTTTTCTTCTCAGATTCCAATTGACTCAGCACCTGAACATATAGATAGATATTAATTATAAAATCTTTATCTGTAAATATCTATTTGATAACATCTCAAATTTGATAACCATACAACTATATCATTACTTTTCATACCATATGATTCTAAAATATATCCTTATGGTTTTTTCTGACATATCATGAATATATAAATCTATTCTAAATATAAGGAAAATGTCTAGTATTTACAGTCTAATAAGTGTATATATTTATTTACTTAAAGAAAAAATATCTTAATACAATGATCTGAATAAGTGTTTCTGTGATCTATATCAAACATAATAGTTTTTTTAATATATGATAAAGTAACGTAAAATTTAGCGAGTACCTGAGTGAGATGATTGTTCAGATCCCGAATCGTAGAATTTCGACATACTTCACTTAGTTGTATGTTGTTGGGCTCGGTAGGAAGTGGTTGGCCATTGTTTAAGAATCGATCAATCACGGTTTCAACATTTGGGTGACCAAAAGAAAAGACTTTTCGACCGGGTGAGAACACAATAATGGCGATTTCAGCAGCACAAAGTGTGCAAAGCTCACTAGCCTTTTTGAAAAGCCCAGATCTTCTTTTTGAGAAAGTAACTTGAAGATTACTTTCATTCTTCATTTTGGTCATCTCTATTTTCTGACGACCTTTGCTTTTTTTCACCATTTTTACTGATATTTAGGAAACACTAATATAAATTGATATGTTTGCATAATGAAATTTGTTTATGTATATATAGTGGATTATTACATACCAGCAATTAATACTATGAGTTGTCAAAGAGCAATTTCAACTTTATTTTACTATATATTATATTTGAATTTTTATCTTACCATTTTTATGACATTTAAAAATCTTCATAATCTATCAATATAAGGAATGAAATTCATATTTTTTTTGACAAATTTGACTATATATTATCATTTCATTTGATACATTGTATCATAATCTGCCACCTATAATTGTAAGTGATAACCACACATTTATATAACAACCATATCACTAAAAATAAATTGAGATAAGGCAATATGGAAAAATCACTAAAACACACAACATTTCAACACGTTTGAGAAGGAAACTGAAAATTAATATTATACTAATTGACACAATTATTTTGCCATCTGTAGGAAAAAAATGAACCTGGAAATTAAACTCTTAATATAATTCTTATTTTTCTTTTGAAAAGTAATTTTTATGATTATTGAAACTATTAAAGTCCAAGATTGTAGGGGTTTTTCCAAAGAAACATACACTTTAGAAGTAGAAGAAGAAGGGGGCAATGTCATGCCTAAGAGAGAAGAGTTTCATTTCTGTTAAGTTTAAGACAAAATGCTTTAATTTGATTAAACTAACAGATTGCTCCGCTTTTACTTCAGAACTAAACTATTTGGATTCCATTCGTTTGGATTTCGAAATTTTTTTACGTCTTATTCCTAGACCACTTCCATCGGCAAAAACATATGTCATCGTCTCTTACCATTATATTTTAATATAAATTATTTATTTAATTAATATTTAAAATATAAAAGGAAGGAGTAAATAAAAAATAGACAAGTATATACAAACTTTTCAAAATCGTGTCTGAAACAAGAAGTTTAAGCAACGTATCTAGTTTCTCTTTCTCCCTTTTCTATTTTTTTCATTTTTTTTATTCTTAAAATACTCTCTTAAAATACATCAATAGAGATGTTCTTATATCCAAAATGTTTGTGTCGATATCTTTGTTAAAAAGGACGCAAACATAAGGTTTACTTTTTTTCCAATATGAATCATAATGAATTGACTTAATTAATTTTTAGGAATTATCGCTAAATCAGTATACCTTAATTTAATATATAAATTGTTTTTAAAAAAAAGTAAGAGAAGAAGGAGAAGGAATCAAAGAAGCTAGTAAAAACTAAGTGTAATTAACCCTGAAAAACATCCAACATGAACCAAAGGGTTATTTAATGATATCACGTCCCGAAACAGTAGATGTTGTCTCTCTCGAAAGGTTTTCTGAGCTGTTGATGTTTTTACCAACATATCAGCCTAGAGCATCAATATTGAAGAGACTCATTTAGGTTTCTTAAATGATATGGTACATTAATAATAAAAAAAAAAAAAAAAAAACAAATGACATTAGAATCAGTTCTTATAGTAGAATTGATGGAAGCGATTTTTAAAATTTTTAATAATAAAATATTGTAAGAGCCCCAATCAGCGTTTCACTATTACTGATGCTATAACATTTTCTGTTGTCTTTTATATGTGAAAATATTTGTCACTACTTTCTAAAATATAACATATGTTATGATATCGGCGATTGATTTGCTATCAGTATTGACGAATATCTACGATGAATAAAAAGTGGTGTGTTTTTTTTTTTTGAAGAATAGAAAAATAAAAGAACATGTACCATAAATGGATTTTAAAACACTCTATTTTGTTTGTAATATAATATTTATTTGGCAAACAAGTAAAATTTCTTTCTTTTTTATTCAAAAGACTAAATACCTGAAATGGTTCAGAAACTTAAACTACAGATACTTAGTTTACATAAGTTATATCATAAGGATAGATAAGAGCATTTCATACTAAATTTTTTAATTTTGATAATTGAAAATTTCGGTCAAAATAAAATAAAATTGTTTACTTTTGTATTGTCTCCTTGTAAAGCGAAAGAAATTGAAAAGAAAAATAAACGGTTTTTTATATTTCATAATTTTCTTTATGTCAAATTTGTTATTATTTTTAACAAACTAACAACATATATAAGCTGTTATTATTTTTTAGAATGATTTGTATATATTTGCTTTAAATATAAATTTTATATAATGGCTTTTTAAAAAATAATTGTTAAAAAGATATACAAATATTACTAGATCCATATACTTTTAAAACTTATGGGCGTATTGACATCAAATAGTGAAAGCTGTTGAGATTAGAAAGTTTTGATTGTTATTTCAAAAATGCTTTATATCTAGTATTATTACATGGTTTCTAAAAAAAAAATATGTCAATTTTTCTTTGAATTTTTAGAGGTTGAGAGTGACACCATTTTTCTATCCAAGGACTGTCAATACATGAAATGTGAGAAAATAATGTAAACTTTGAATAATGTAAATTATGACAACCATAAGAAACCCAAAAAAAAATTAAATCATAAGTGAGAAAGAACATGTACCGTATAAAAACTAAAGTTTATATGAGAATTATTGAATATGGGGCATACTGCCAAATAGAATAACATTAAGTATAACAGCCATAAAAGAAAAAAAAAGATACCACGAAAGAAATTTAAATCTTAATGGGAAACAATGAGCTAAATTAGACCTCGTTAATGTTTGTTAGAAAAAAAGGCTGGATTGGTTGTTGTTATAGATATTGTGCACATAAATATGTATATTTACAGTTCTAAATCATATCAATTATACTTTATAAATTTTATATTTTCTTTATTTCTTTATAGCCAAAATATTTCCTTTTTATCTTTTTAGCTATACAAAGTATTTTTTTTTCTAAAGCACATAATTCTATGTTTTCCAAATTTTATAATTTTACAGCCAAATTTTTTTATGAAAATAAAATCTACAATTACAGCAAAAACATAAAATTACAGTTATTTCCAAATTTTTTTGTAAACGAATTTAAACATTTCCAAAGTTTTGGAAACTCTCATATCTTTTATCTAAATTTTGTTGTGCTCATTTTGTAAAAACATCATTCTTCCTTATTGTTTGACTTGCCACTTTTTCACATTTAATTATCAACTATAAAAATCTACTCTATTTGCTTCTTTTTTTTTTTTCTTTTAATAGATTTCTTTGGAGAAGATAAATCGATCGATAAGATGTGGTGTCAAAAGAAATGTCATTAAATAAATTTAGAAGGACCTAAACATAAATGAAAAGCACAAAGGAACTACTTACTTATAATGCTCTTGGAAGGCGTTAGTATAGTAAATTACGATTAGAAAAAAAAATAGGTATGCCTTACAATTTATCATGAAACCAGCTAGAATCGGTCTAACAATAAATGTTTTCAAACAGAATCTTAAAATAATTACTTTCGTGATGTCTTAGAACGAAGAACGTTGGTTAGGCAATTACGAATTTTTGTTTAACTTTCTACTTACGCAATAAATTAATACATGCAAAGAAGTTTTATGTTGTTGTGTTGGTGAACACAAAGTTAAATGCAATTCCAACTTGTAGAAAACTATATGAACAAAATATAGTTAGATGAAAACATAATAATATTCAGTTTTAAGACATAATAATATTTTTTGAACTTGTAATTTTTGTATGTACGTGATTGATTATAATTATAACTATTACTACGATGTTAAAATATCTGCAATAACAGACAAAACAACAAATTGTGTAGACATGTCCATGGCCACTCTAGTATATATATATATATATATATATATATATATTTCAGTGCCTAATACTTTTTATTAGAATACACAGTCTTATATTATAAATAACGTATATATGTGAATGTTTATTATTTTTTATTTTTTATTTTTTAATCGTAAATGTAACAACAAAATAAATTTCAAAGAAAGCATATTACAACTAGGAGAAATGAGGGGAGATGTAACGACAGCGTAGAAAAAACAAAAACACAAGAGAAAAAGAGAAATGAAGAATTCTGAAGAAAAACACAACATAAGAAGAAGAAATTAGGATTATTAAAGATATACGATGAAAAGTTGAAAACGACACAAAAATGATGCTATATTCGAAAGAATCTTTTGTTAGTATTTCCTCTGTTTCATAATAAGTGTCATTTTGGAAAAATGTATTGCATTATAATTGGATGTATCTAGATGTGTTTTGAGGTTAATATATCCAGTTATAATATAGATACATTTTTTCAAAATAACACTTATTATAAAATAAAGGGAGTAATAAACTAGATAGATGCTGACCAAGTTCGTAATATCCAAATAATTATATGGAGAACTGATTAATCTTATAGAATTTAATACTGATTAAAGTATTTAAGTTTTTTATTATATGATATAAATAGTTTATTAACTTACTTATTTATAGTGCATTTGTATCTTCTGAAATTACTTTAAATCTATAGATTTTATCATAATTTGTTTATGAACCTATCATAAATATATATTTAATTTCTTTTGAAACCACTGGATTAAAAGAAATCCAATAAAAAAACTGAGGTCATTAATATGGCATACAAGAATCTCGCAAAAAATTATATTTAAATATATTGTTATTTTGTGGATATAGCTAGTAATTTAGAGATAGGTGTATAGGCATCTTATTTATTAATTTATTATATCTATCTTTTCTCTAAACATATTAAGATAAAAAGTTGGAGAGAATTGGTTAATCATATAATGATGCGTCAAATATTCTGAAAAATTATAACCAGAATTTTCTTGTTAATTTTCTTTTAAGTTAGTGAGTTTTGTATGTTTCGAAATACTTAAAAGTCGTGATAAAATAATATTTGATATAATAAATAGATACATAGTTGGAAGGTGAGGCGGAAAGCTTTGAACTACATCAAATGTCTTAGCATTCTCCTTTGTCTTCTCTCATGACATTGTCTACGTCTCATGACACCTTTACATTTCATGAGTCATGACTAATTTTTTTGTTGGAAGTGTTGCGTGACAGTATGTATTATTATTTTGTTTTGCAGAGACGACGGTATAGTGACGTTCCATGA